GATACACAAATGTTTACGCACATATTAGCACTAGCTATTGTGATCATCACTAAGGTTAAAGGGTTCAGTTGCTTAGGGATGGGCGTGCATGTGTATACATATGCAAAGCATTCATAGTCTCTTTAGCTGTAAGTAAAATTAACTCCTGTAGATTTCTGGTAATGAAAACCCAGTTAGTGGTTCCCCAAATCCATTTTCATTCAATTTTGTTCTGCAACAACATGTTATTTTTTTCTTCTACTCTACAAACATTTATCAAGTATTTACTGAATGCCAGATGCTATGCTTGGAGCTCAGAATACAAACAAATATTACCCTTCCCCTTTGGTGCTCCCATAGAATGGGCCAAAGCACCACAAATCTAATAATCATAAAACAAATGGAAAACATTAAGTGCAAAAAGCTACAAGGTGAGGTACATGATGCTGTAAGAGGGCCAATTTACCAAAAATTCAATTTGCAGAAAGCCAATTTGCCAAAAGTCAATTTTCCAAATCACTGATTCACTGAATTTCCTAACAGACAACTCTCAGTTTGCCAAAAAGCCAGCTCCTAGAAAATCAATTTGATGAGTAGTCTGCCAGATCGTAGTTTCACCAGATGATCAGTTTACTGAATTGCTTATAACTTTTGAAGTCTTCATTTCATAGTCTTGACACATTCATGACAGCTCTTTAATCCTGAATTTGACTGTGTATCTGGAATGAATGTGAGTTTCAAAGCCACTACTGCCCAATGAGATTGCATTCCAACGTAAGCATCCCTCCAGTGCAGCTCACTGCCTCCTCTGACACCGCCAGAAAGGCAGCTGCAGCAGCCATCCTGGATCAGGATGGTGAACTAATCCTGCCAAATGGTTGTCAGCAGATTGGTCATTTGTGAAACTGACTCTGCACTGTTTCCCAGTAAAACTGCAGGAAGTCTGTGTGCTAAGGGCCTACAACAGAATCTTCAGACACATGCAGAAGGCTTCATTAGAGAAAAAAAAATCATAACTGAACTAGTTGTGAAGAATACATAGGGTTGGGCAGTGGTGGTACATGACTTTCATCCCAGGACTTGGGAGGCAGAGGCAAGTGGATATCTGAGTTCAAGGCCAGCCTGGTCCACAGAGTGTAGTCAGGGCTACACAAAGAAACCCTTTCTTGAAACACACACACATGCACACAAGTAACCAGGATAAAGGAATAAAAGTAATGCAGGAGAAAGTCCAAGCAAAATTATAGCATAGGAGACAACCATTTGTCAGAGGAAGCACTGCAGTTATAAGGGCTGCATAAGACGCAGTGGGTGAGAAGGGTGTGAACCAAGGGTAGATAGAGCCATAGGTTGGGACAATTCCTGTCTTATTTTAAGGCTTGGAATCCTTAATGCATTTTAAGTAGGATAATGACAGTGTTGGTTTTGTGTTTTGAAAAGATTACCGCTACAGATTTAAGTGTGTGATTATATATAGGCTAATCTCTCACCTACAGTTTTTTTTTTAATTTTGATAGTCTAAGAGAGAGATACTAGTATTTACACAAGAGAATATGGAAGAGGTGAAGCAAATTATAATAAACCACCAGCCAAGTCAGGAGGTAGCAGAAATCAGGTTTGTTATGGAGGGTCCCGCACAGATGAGTGAAGAACAGAGAGCCACGGACACTTCCTATACCCTGTTTTGCACAACTATATTGAAGTGCTATTGCTAACAGAACACTGGAAGAAAACCAGGCTTGAACAGTATTTCATCAATAAATTGCCTTCTATGTTCTTATTTTATGCATCATTTAGAATATCTTCTTTCAAATTTTAAGTTATTGAAGGATTAAATATGAGTTTGGTCAAAGATGTTTCATAAAATGTAGTTCCTCTTCTATACTGGTATTCAATAAACTGTAACTCTTTTTAGGGTATCCTTTATTTACTGACAAATTCATGATACATAAAATGCATCTAGATCATATCCACGCTAACTCCCTTCGGCCATCATCCCCTGACCTCTCTTGTTAGCCCACTAAGTCCAAGCAGCACTGTTACCTGCTGGAGCGTTGGCTTATCCTGTTGCCTTGCTATTGTGCTGGATGCCATCACTATTGTGAGTGCAATGGCTATGTCAAGACATGCCCAGAGGGAACATTCCCCAACACCTCCCCATCTCCTGGCTCTTACATTCTTCCCACTCTCTTCCCCATGATGTTCCCTGTGCTTTGGGGATTGACACTGTCTCATTTAAGGCTGAGCATTCAACAACTGCTTATACTCAGCACTGTGACTATTAAGCCCACTACAGAAGAAAGCTTCCAAGGTTGACAGCAGCACTAATCTGGGGGGATAAACCAGCACTAATCTGGATATCCCTGAGGGGATATCCATGGGCAGTTTGACATGTCCATTTAGCAGAATAATAGCAATAGCTGCCTTAGTAGAGCCTAAGGCCTTCTGAATCATAGATTTTGGCCAGGTTTATAGTTTCAGGCATGAATTCCTTTCTGTGGAGCAGGCCTGTAACACAATTTAAAAAGTTCTTGGTTAACCCCCCATAACCTATGGGCACATCTTGCCTGGTAGATCGGTACTGTAGCAAATGTTTACTGCTGGCTAATCCCTTTGATGGCTTTTCTCACCCAGCAGCCAGTGTAGCATATCAACTCCAGCTTAATTTCTCTATGTCTTGCAATCAAAGTGTGTGTGTGTCTTCCAAAATAAGGTCAATAACCATCTAGTTATACTGGACAGCCACAGCAATGGCATTAGTCTGTTTTGTTTTGGGGGACTCTGTGGTCAAAAGTCCCACTGAACACTGATGTGTTTTCTTATTGCATTACTTATTTAAAGTCTTAATATGGTACTATGTGCCTGTGTGAATTCCTGACATAGCAAGAAAATATATGAAGAGCAGAGTTGGTGGCCCCGGAAAGTCCCCTGCTAAGCCTGTGCTGTGGTGACTTGGAGCAGATCTGTTAAAGCTTGGCATGGGGCAGGAGCTCTAACTTGTGTGGATCTTTTTATGAAGATACAGGTTGCAGTGAGTTGTTCAAGGATTGAGTGAGTTTCACAGTTTCAGAGGTTTAGTTCATTTATCATCATGGCATGCAGGCAGACATCTTGCTGAGAGTCCCACAGGCAGCAGGGGGGGAAAAATGTGTTGCAGTAACCAGACTTGAGCTTATAAGACCACAAAGCCTACCTCCACAGTGACATACCTACTCCAATAAGGCCACACCTCCTAATAGTGCCCTCCCTGTGGGCCAAGCATTCATAAACATGAGTCTATGGGGGCCATGCATATCAGGTAGGACTTTTTGGTGATACAGCTGCTGTAGTTGACCACGATCCTATACGTACCACTCATCTATACTAGTCAACAACCCAAAAAGAGCCATTGGTTTACCAGACTGGACTTGGACAGACCCATAATTGTCCTCTCTGTGTGGGGCAAATAGAAACAGCCTTCCTAGGCAACAGCTCAGTGCCTGATTATCACTAGTCTATAGATGAGAAGCCTGAAATGCAGAGGCTGCTTTCCCGAGCTCCACAAGGCTACTAACTCTTGACACTCAATATTAAACACAGAACACTGAACCCCCCTGCTCAGCTCTCGCCCCTAATTCTAAGAGACACTGAAATAGCTATGTGGACACTATTTTAAATGATAAAAATATATATAATTAATTAATTAGCACCCATTTTTTTTTTTAAGAAGTCTCTATCATTCTATTTTCTCAATAAAGACTCAGGAGCCAGATGCTGGGATGAAAACCTGCTGCTCAGATTAGCAGTGAAAGTAGCCAACTGCTTCCTCCTCTGCTATCACCCCAGAAAGAGAGCTTTCACCTACCCCATCTCACACAAAACATCCTCCAAGCAGATGTCCCTCCTTTCCCCTTCCTGCTCATCTCTATGTATATCCTCTATTGTTTTATCCTGTCAACTGGTTGTTTGCGCTACCTCTCCCCCTATGTTTGATTTTATTTAATCCTGTTCCTATGATAAACAATGCAGTCTTGGGGTTCACTGTGACCAAACATTTTGCAACAGTTTATCCTAAAATTTTATTTGGAAAAGAAATAGGCATACCACAGCCTTAATTACATAAATGATTGCTATATTCCATTGATCGCTCAATTTATTTTCATCCCGTTTTATTCACTAAGGACATTCATCTAAAACTGTAGATTGAACACTAATTCATATTTCCAAGGATTTCTACAACCCACATGATAATGATCATAAAATGATTAAGCAAAAATATCCTTCAAGTTATGGCAGGAGAGATAGTTCAGAGGTAATTAGCACTTGCTGTATAGCAAGATGACCCAAGTATAAATTCCCAGCACCAACTCAAAACCCTGCATGACCATGTGTGCCTGTAAACCTAGGGGTACAGGTAGGCAGACCCTGAGAACTCACTGGCCAGTGAAAGTGTGAGTTTCTCACTCTGTGAGAGACCCTGTCTCAAAAAATAAGGTGGGAAGTGGCAAGGGAAGACACTGGAGCCATCCTTTGCTTCTGTGTGTGCAATTACAGTCGTATGCACCAGCATATACACATGTGCTTACACCACATAGCAAAAGTAAATATCCTTAAATAAGCACTAACAAAACAACCCAATTAAAAATGTCCCATGGAGCCAGGAGGTGGTAGCACATGCTCCTAGTGCTCAGGAGGCAGAAGCAAGTGGATCTCTGTGAGTTCAAGGCCAGTCTGATCTACAGAGCTAGTTCCAGGACAGTTAGGGCTACACAGAGAAATCCTGTCTTGAAAAGGAAAAAAAAAAAAAAAGATGTACCATGGACCATTGTCATAACAGAGAATTCTCAAAAGATTAAGTACAAATGGCTAACAAACCTTTCTAAACTGTTCAACATCATTGCAGGGAAATGCAAATTAAAGCCACTATGAAATTCCATTTAGGGAGTCACTGCCTAACCCTGCTAGGGTCTGGAGACCTGTTGCCAGTGTTTACATCAGGATCATTATCCCTGAAAACCTGTCAGAATGGGAGCCCAGGCCCAACCCACACTCATGCAACTGGCACTAGAGAGGCTGCTGAGGGAGGAGGCCTTGATCATCTCTGCTCTCTGGAGGACCTGCCTGTAGGAATGTTCCCAGAGATGTTTGAGGAGGCCTTCAATCTCAGATTTACAAACATCCTAGGGGCAATGGTGCCTGCCTGGCCTTTCCCATGCCTTCCTGCAGGAGGCATGTTTTACAACCCCCATCTGGAGACTCTGAAAGCTCTGCTTGATGGACTGCATGTGTTGATTACAGGGAAGGTTCATTCTAGGTCAAAACTCAGAGTGCTTGATTTGATAAATGTGAACCTTGACTACTGCAACCTTAATGCTGGAAGCCATGAAGGTGACTGCTCACCACAAGCCATGAGGCAGCAACAGTCAGTGGAGATGTGTTAGGAGTAGGTTTTTCCTGCCAGCCTAGACTCACCGTGGCGCCAGCCCCAATTAACACACAGAGACACTGTATTAGATATAATTTTGTTGGCCTGTTACTTGTTTCTTATCGTCTAGCTCTGTCTTAAGTATTAACCCATTTCTATTAATCTAAGTATTTCCACATGGTCTCATCTTACCCGAGATTGGGGACGGCATTCTGCTCTCTCCAGTCTCTACATGCTGACTCCTCCGCACTACTTCCTCAAATCCTCCTAGTCTCCTAGTCCCACCTATCTTGCTTTCCTATTGGCTAACAGTGCTTTATTCATTAACCAATACAAGAAAAATATTTACAGAATGATTTTTCCCATCATCTCCTCTTTTCTGTCTAAAATAAAAAGAAGGGTTTTAACTTTAACATAGTAAAATATTTAACAAAACAGTTATCAAATAAGAACCATAGTTAACAATGTTCAGTCCATTAACATTTAGCAAGATTTAAAGAAAATATTTTATCATCTATCCTATCTTTGTGAGTCTAAAATCTTATAGGTAACTTATCTGTAATCCTAACTAAGGAAAACGATAACCATAACTATCTGTCTTTAACTCCTTCAAAGACCACAGAAGGATAATATATAAACTCTAGAAATGACAGAGACAACTCGCCTGATCAGTTTCCCGAAGTTCTTCTGTAAAGTTCCATCTTCAGCCCATAGGCCATAGTGCATCTGGCAGACTCCTCAGCAAAGCAGGAAACTTTAAACTGTCCACCTGTATTGGCAGTTTGTCAGTCACTTTTCTCTGTGTCCTGCAGACTGTCTGGCAGACTCTTCCTTGAAGCAGGAACCTTGTATCAATGTCCATCATGTATCAGCAGTCACTTTCCTGGGGTCCTGCGTGTCCAGTTTATACAGCATAATGTCAAACAGTCCCGACAAAAGCAGTACCTTGTCCAAATGGCTAGTCTTGCAATATTGGAAGCAAACTCCATAACGCATTTCTTCAAGGTCCTTTTTTCTTTCTGATGCAGGTGGTGTTGCCAGGAGCAGTTATGTCTCATTGTCAAGAAAAACCCTAAACCATTTTAAATGCCATATTTTGTAGGTCTTTGAAAGGTTTGAAGAATGCCTATTTATTTCAAATACATCTCTGTATATCTAGAAATCCTAAGTAACTTAACTATATGTTTTGACTATTATAGGTAACGATCTATAATCTGTACTAAGTTATACATTTTTAAATGACCTATATAAACACAATACCTAAATAAAGCACAAATTTGAACTTAAATTGTATCAAATGAAAATCCATTCTAAGGCAAAGTATTCATATCTGTACCATAATCCCTTTTTACCTTTAAAAAGATTGGTTGTGGTCATTAACCATTTATAACCAACCCCATATAAATGAAAACAAACATTTATACACAGTATTTGGGAATTTGGGCATCATTCTTTCCAAACTGCTTCCTGCTAGTAGGGGGCGCTGTCATGGGGATCCTAAGAAGTTGTAGAAATCCTGGCTATAGTCTTCAAGGCTGCTTTGTCCCAGCTGTTTTGAATGTTGGATCACCTGGTACTCTGTTTCAGGGAGGTCTGGCTTGCTCAAACCACATTAGTCTGGAAGGAATCCACAGCCTTTCATTTTCTGTGGAAACAAAATTAGAAATCCTTTTCCCCAGTAACTTGTCCTTGGACTTAAATTTGAAAGTCAAAGCAGCATTTGTTTTAACAGTTGTTGTTATTTCCTCAACAGTCAAACGATACAAAGACAACATAATACCCTACAGTATCCAGATTCTCTCCATCTTTACTTGGCTTTTTTATTACTCTGTTTCTTTTACTTCTATTTTTTTCATTTTTTGAGACAGGGTTTCTCTGTGTAACTTTTATCTGTCCTGGAATTCACTCTGCATACCAGGTTTACTTTGCAATCACAGAGATCTGCTTGTCTCTGTCTCCCAAGTGCTGGGATTAAAGGCCTGTGCCACCACACCCAGCTCCTCTCTGTCTTTTTAAAACCATTTTATTCTTTTTCTCTCCCAAGCCTACGTATATTTTTAAACACACTGTAAAAAAAACTTTAGCAATTTTTCTTTAATCTGAATCTGTCTTTACTGTAAATCTTTATCTTTTTCTGACTGCTAATCTTTTATCTGGTAAACAACAACATTGCTAAAATTAAGGCCCCAGTTTTTCAGCCGTGGTCTATCAAAGATGGTGGCAGGTACCTTTACCGGCAGAACTGAGAGCTGTGCTCACTCTTGGTCTACGCTGCCATACAGCAGCATGCTGCCGGCTTGGAGATGTGGTCACTGCCATTGCCAGCTCTGATACACACCAATGAATTGTTAGCAGTGCTTCTTCAAAGCCCTGCGGTTTTTTGGTTGTTTTTTTTTTTTTTTTTTTTTTTTTTTTTTTTTTTTGCTGCTTATGCTGAGTCAGGAAACCCACAAATCTTTGCTTGTCTCAGGCAAAACAGAGTCCAACCCAGAAAAAAATGCTATTAGCAAGAAGCCTTGCTTGTCTTTGTTCTTTTGTTTCTAAAACCCTTTTTTAAGCTTTTGTTAAACCTTAAGTGTAAGTTCTTATTAGCCATGTTGCGGTGCCATACAGCTCTGCTTGATGGACTGTATGTGTTGATTACAGAGAAGGTTCATTTTAGGTCAAAACTCAGAGTGCTTGATTTGATAAACATGAACCTTGATTTCTGGAACCTTAATGCTGGAAGCCATGAAGGTGACTGCTCACCACAAGCCATGAGGCAGCAACAGTCAGTGGAGATGTGTCCTAACTGTGCAGGAGAAATCTTTTACGGTAGTAACTGATGTTGAAGTCATGAAAGTCAGTTTCAATGAATGTGTCACAAACTTTTTGTAGTGGGCCAAGCAGCAGGAAGGTTCCATTCGTGTATGCTGTAGAAGGCTGCATGCATATTTGCAATGCACTTGTCTTCACTGCCACACGGCTCTTCAAAATGGTAAATGTAGACTGTATCTGGGAGCTGCAATTGAGTCACTGGTGGCTTCAATATGTAGCACACATTTTTCCTTACCTGGGACAGATGAGAAATCTTCACACCCTCTTCCTAGAAAGAATTCAGAAGCCCTCCAGGGCAGATGCTTCTGCAGAGCAGGAATGGATAAACCTGTTGCTTTCTCAGTTCTCCAAACTTCCCTGACTCCAGAATCTCTGTGCAAATGGCATGTACTTTCTAACAGGCTGCCTTGAAGAGTCGCTCAGGTACCTGAGCAACCCCATGGGGGGACTCTGTCAATCACTGACTGCTGGCTCTCACATTCAGACCTGGATTACTTGAGCCAGTGTCTGATTGTCTGTGAGCTCAAACATCTAGACCTGAATTGTGTAGAGCTATCTGATTCATTCCCTAAGCTTCTTGGGTTCTCCTTGAACAAGTACCCTGAAAACCCTGGTGTAGTGAGATAGTCCTTCTGTGGCACTGACCACGCCCACTGGGGGTGGAGCCATGGATGGAAGTGACCTGTGGAAGAAGGTCGGAGAAAGAGCTGGGAAAAGCTCTCTTGCTGGTGGGACTCGGACAGGAGAGCATCGGGTGGAATTTCCTGGTGTTCATCTGTCTAGGTTGTAATTTCTCCCTTAATAAACATCTATTCAGCCTATTTGTTTATCCTGATCCTTATTTAACCGCAATATCTGGTGTCAGAAGCGGGATTAGGATTTTCAGGGGACTTGGGTTTCACCCAGGTGGCAGACACCACTCCCCTCCCCCACCTTCCCCAACGGGCAGGGTCCCTTGCCTAACCAGGTGGACTCACCACAGCTTTGGGACATATGCCTCTTGCTTACAGCAAAGGAGATCTTTGCCGCCAAAGCGGACCTGAGAAGGCACTCACTGCTTCTCATTTTTTGCCCATTTCCACACTGCACTTTGCATTCTCGCAGAGCCGCTCAGCACCCGCCCTGCTTGCGCATTTTCCCGACCTTAGTCTTGCGGTCCCAGCAATTTCACAAGTCTTCTTTTAACAAAATTTTGCTTGCCATAGTTTGTTAAGAGCTATTCTACAGGGACCGGAATCAGAAGGATCGTCTGCTGCCAGACGATATCGGTTTTTCCGCCCGCCGCCTCTGGTCTTGTCCCGCCGCCATGCCAGCCCCAAATAACACACTGAGACTCTGTATTAGATATAATTCTGTTGGCCCGGTTACTTGTTTCTTATCGGCTAGCTCTGCCTTAATTATTAACCCATTTCTGCTGATCTATGTATTTCTCTTACCGGGAACCAAGCCAGCATACTGCTTTCTCTCAACTCTCCATCTTGGCTCCTTCTTACTACTTCCTCTTTCCTCCTTGTCTCCTAGTCCCTCCTATCTTCCTTTCCTATTGGCCAACAGTGCTTTATTATTAACCAATATGAGAAACATATATACATAATGGCATCTCCCATCATCTCCTCTTTTCTGTCTAAATAAAAAGAAGGGTTTTAACCTTAACATAGTAAAATATATAACAAGTAAGAATCACAGTTAACAATATTTACTCCATTAACATTTAGTAAGATTTGAAGAAAATATTCCATCATCTATTTTATCTTGTGAGTCTAAAGTCCTCTATGTACTTTATCATTGAATCCTAACTAAGGAAAACTCTAACCATAACTATCTGTCTTCAACTCCTTCAAAGACCACAGAAGGATAGACTATAAACTCTAGAAATGACAGAGACATCTTGCCTGGTCACCTGAAGTTCTTTTGTAATCTTCCATCTTCAGCCCATAGGCCATAGTGTGTCTGGCAGACTCTTCAGCAAAGCAGGAAACTTTAAACTGTCTTCTTGTATTGGCAGTTTGTCAGTCACTTTTCTCTGTGTCCTGCAGACTGTCTGGCAGACTCTTCCATGAAGCAGGAACCCTGTAGCAATGTCCATCTTGTATCAGCAGTCACGTTTCTGTGGGTCCTGCATGTCCAGTTTATACAGCATAAAGTCAAACAGTCCAGACAAGAGCAGTATCTTGTCCAAATGGCTAGTCTTGCTACATTGGAGGCAAACTCCATAACCTGTTTCTTTAATGTCCATCTTCCTTTCTGATGCAGGTGGTGTTGCCAGGAGCAATTGTGCCTCACTGTCAAGAAAAACTCTAAACCATTTTAAATGCCATATTCTGTAGGTCTTTGAAAGGTTTGAAGAATGCCTATCTATCTCAAATACATCTCTGTGTATCTTGAAAACCTAACTAACTTAATTCTAAGATTTGACTATCATAGGTAATTATCTATAATCTGTACTACATTATACATTACATTTTTAAATGAGCTATATAAACACAATACCTAAACAAAAGGAGAAATATATATATATGACAAAATTGAACTTAAATTGTATCAATAAATGAAAATCCATTCCAAAACAAAGTATTCATATCTATACCATAATTCCCTTTTTACCTTTAAAAAGATATTGGTTGTGATCATTAACCATTTATAACCAATGCCATTTAAATGAAAACAAACATTTATAAACAATATTTGGGAATTTGGGCTTCGTTCTTTCTAAACTAAATCCTGCTGGTAGGGGGCGCTGTCATGGGGATCCTAAGAAGATGCAGTAATCCTGGCTGTAGTCTGCAAGACTGCCTTGTTCAAGCTGTTTTGAATGTTGGATCACCAGCGACTCTGTTTCAGGGGGTCTGGCTTGATCAAACACATTAGTCTGCAAGGAATCCACAGCTTTTCATTTTCTGTGGAAACAAAAATAGAAATCCTTTTCCCCAGTAACTTGTCCTTGAACTTAAATTTTGGAGTCAAAGCATTTTTAAAATATATATAAATTGAATTAATCCAGCAGCATTTCCTTTATCAGTTGTTGTTATTTTCTCAGCAGTCAAACAATGCAGAGACAACACAATAGCATACAGTAACCAGATTCTCTCTGAGCTTTTCATCTTTACGTGGCTTTATTATTACTCTGTGTATTTTACTTTTATTTTTTTCATTTTTTGACATAGGGTTTCACTGTGTAACTCTTATCTGTCCTGGAATTTATTCTGCATACCAGGTTTACTTGGCAAATCACAGAGATCTGCTTGCCTCCCTCTCTTGAGTGCTGGGATTAAAGTAGTGTGCCACCACACCTAGTTCCTCTCTGTCTTTTTAAAACCATTTTTTTCCATGTCTACGTATATTTTAAAACACACTGTAAACCTTTAGAGGTTTTTCTTAATATGAATCTGTCTTACTATAAATCTTTATCTTTTTCTGGCCACGAGTCTTTTATCTGGTAAACAACAACATTGCTGAAATGAAAGTCATAGTTCTTCCTTGATATTTGGCGGTACCTTTCCGGGCAGAACCGGGATCAGACAGGCCTCGGCGGCTAGGCGATATTTTGTGGTACACCTCCAGGTGTAACTACCACAAGCTGAGATCTACAACTAAAAGCATCAAAGTTCCAGGACAGCAGAATTACACCTAAGGTAATTGTAACATACTTTGCAATTTAAGCTGATATAAAATCTGAGATCAATTATTCCATAACTATGGCAGATAATTTTACAATGCAGGACTTTAGGAATTATTTTACTTCATACATAGAAGGGATTTTAGCAGAAGAAACTTATGACTGGACTAATATGTACTTTTATTTTGTAATAGCAATGGGTTTCATCATTAACATGATATTCTTAAAGAAATGGTTTGAGATTACAGTAAACAATAAGGAACTTGTACAAACCATAGGAGACTTAGTAATAAGGATTCGAAACATTGAAAATGATAGAATTCAAAGCATAGAAAGTATAGAAAGAAAGGTTCAGAATATTGAAGATGGCATTGGAGAGCTGACAGGTAGAATTTGTTTCATGTCAGATACCTCAATAACCAGAACAGAAACAATGCAATGTATTAACACGCTAGCAGAAACAGCTCGTTCCTGGTCGGAGGAAGCTACTAATAAGTTTAAAAAACTGGAACATCAGATAGAAAGACTAGATGATCTCTTCCATGTCTTAGGATAATGGCAAGCTAGCAGATAGAACATTGTTTCTGGAAGGCAGTTTACATGCCATTCAGATAATATCTAAGGATGAGAAGATTAAAAACATGGAATCATTTGTAGTTGGAGAAAGTAAGAAACTGACTGATGCAATGAAGTCTCTAGAAAGTTATTTGATTCAAGAAGTTCAGACACTCAAAGAAACAATGGTGAATAGATTTCAGGCTTTAGAAGACCTTCAGTCTGATACATCAGAAGAACTACAGGTAACAGGGCATGAAAAAGATTTAAAATTTTCCACACCATTTAGGGTCAGGGGAGCTTTCCCTGTATCTATTAATGAAAAACCAGCAACAAAAAAACACCCAAAAGGTGTTGTTGCATATCAGTGGGAACCAATACGTATGAAAGATTTAAAAGGTATAAAGGAAGCAGTAGTCTCTTATGGCATGCACTCACCTTATGTGAAGCAATTAGTAGAATCATGGGCAAGGAATAACAAGGTAACCCCTAAGGATTGGGATCAATTAATATCAGCTGTCCTTGAAAACTCCTCTCAATTAGAATGGAGGGCTTTATGCAGAGAGGAAGCAAAAGCTCTTGAACTTCAGGGCTTAAAGAAAGGTTATAAAGCTCCCCAAGATAAAATTCTTGGTGAGGATCTCTATGCTGACCCAGAAACCCAAGCTGCCTATGATGAACATATCTTGTCTCTATGCAGTACAGCAGCTTCGAATGCTTGGGATAAGGTTCATGAATTAGGAGAGAGGATAGAACCCTATATCAAGATAAGGCAAGGACCTAGAGAACGCTTTACTGTCTTTCTATAAAGATTATCTAGAGCAGTACAATTAGAGGTAGCAGACATAGATGCTAGGCGAATACTCATAGAATCTTTAGCTTATGAGAATGCGAACCCTCAATGCAAACAGGTGCTTTGGCCTTTAAAAATGCGGTCAGCACCCTTGGATGAATGGATCCTATATACAGGCAACATTGAGTATAATGACAATAAGACTGAAGCATGGGTAGGAGAAGCCATATCTAAAGGTCAGAGAAGGCATCAAGATAACAGAGTTCCTTACTATGGTGACTTAGAAGCTTGGGTAGGAGAAGCCATCTCCAAAGGTTTGAAGAGATATCAACATGTCAGATGTTATAACTGTGGTAAGATAGGACATCTAAAAAGAAATTGTAGGCAAAGCTTCCCTAGAAATAACACTCCCAGGAATGAATCAAATAGAAGGCCTCGGCCTCCTGGGTTATGTAGAAGGTGTGGCAAAGGCAGACACTGGACAAATGAGTGTAGATCGACCAGAGACAAGCAAGGAAACCCTTTACCATCGGGAAACTCCTTGGGGGATATGTCCAGCTAAATGCTGGACATATCAAGGAATCAACCAGCCCTTGGAATTCTCCTGTATTTGTGATCAAAAAGAAATCGGGTAAATGGAGAATGCTTACAGACCTGAGAGCCATCAATAAAGTTATCCAGCCAATGGGCTCTCTACAGCCTGGAATGCCCTTGCCTTCTTTGATACCCAAAGAATGGCCTATTATAGTTATTGATTCTTCACTATACCTTTACAAGAACAAGATAAAGAGAAATTTGCCTTCATGGTTCCTAATTACAATAATTCTCAACTGGTGAAGAGATATCAATGGAAGGTTTTGCCACAGGGAATGCTAAATAGCCCCACCCTGTGCCAATATTTCATACAAAAACTGTTAGAAATAATTTGTAAACAGTTTCCACAATCCATAATCTATCATTACATGGATGATATATTGTTAGCTGACTCTAAAGGAGAAATATTAGAAAAAAATGTTTGAGAAAGTAAAGGAAGTTTTACCTCACTGGGGATTACAAATTGCACCTGAAAAAATACAAAAAGTAGAGTCTATCAACTACTTAGGATATAAAATAGGTCTACAGAAAATTAGATCACAAAAAGTACAGACCAGAAGAGATCACTACCAGACTCTTAATGATCTTCAAAAATTACTAGGAGAGATTTCTCAACTGTAAACCATTATTGGAGTAGAAGGGCATGATTTGAAAAACCTGAAATTGGCCCTAAAAGGAGAGAAGGACTTGAATAGTCCACGAATACTATCAGCTGAAGCTAAGAAGGAATTAGAATGGGTAGAAAAGAGGATACTAGAAGCACATGTGGACCATGTGGATCCAAACTTAGACTGTATTCTGGTTATATTACCATCTAGAGAATATCCTTCAGGGATTTTGATGCAGAGAGAAGATATCATATTAGAATGGATATTCCTATCACATAAACAGAATAAAAAACTAAAAACATATATAGAAAAGATCTCTGACTTGATTATAAAAGGTAAATTAAGACATTGTCAGCTAATAGGAAGGGACCCAGTAGAAATTATAGTACCTTTAACTAATGAGGAAATTTCCTCCTTGTGGAAAGAAAACGAATATTGGCAGAGAGCTTGCAGTAACTTTTTGGGAACAATTAGCAACAACTATCCCAAAACTGAGAGAATCAAATTCATAAAGAAAAAGATTTGGATCCTTCCACGCATTGTAAGAAAAACACCTATTTCTGGAGTTCATACATTCTACACTGATGCAAACAAATCAGGTAAGGCAGGAAAAATTAGCAAAGTGGTTCAAAGCCCTTACAATTCTGTACAAAAGGCAGAATTGTATGCCATTCTCATGGTACTTATGGATTTTAAAGAACCCCTCAATATAGTTACTGACTCTCAATATGCAGAGAGAGTCGTTTTACACATTGAGACTGCAGAATTTATACCTGACAATACAGAATTAACTTTATTGTTTATACAGTTACAAGATACTATCAGAAAGAGGACTCATCCTATATATATAACACACATCAGATCCCATACTGGTCTGCCAGGTCCTCTAGCACAAGGCAATGATGAAATTGATCATTTATTGATAGGAAGTGTGCTAGAAGCCTCAGAGTTTCATAAGAAACACCACATGAACAGCAAAGGTTTAAAAAAGGATTTTTCTATCACTTGGGAACAAGCCAAGGAAATAGTAAGGAAATGTCCTACTTTCTCATTCTATAATCAAACTCCTTTACCACCAGGGAGTAACCCTAAAGGTATAAATAGGAATGAAATATGGCAAATGGTTGCATTTCATTTTGCAGAATTTGGAAAATTAAAATATTTACATCACACTATAGATACATTTTCAGGGTTTCAATGGGCTACTGCTCTGAGCTCTGAAAAGGCTGATTCTGTTATCACACACCTATTAGAGGTAATGGCCATTATGGGCATACCTGCACAAATAAAAACTGACAATGCTCCAGCATATGTCTCCAGCAAATTGAAACAGTTTTCTGAGTATTATAACATAAAGCACATAACTGGTATACCATACAATCCTACAGGACAAGCAGTGGTTGAGAGATCCAATCGTACTTTAAAAGAAATGCTCCATAAGCAGGCAGGAGGAACCAAGAAACCCAAACACAGATTACATAATGCTTTATTAACATTAAACTTTCTTAATGCTGATGAAAAAGGAAAAACAGCTGCAAAAAGACACTGGACAATAGAAAAAACTTCTGAACTAAATCAGCCAGTGTACTTCAAGGATGTACTGACCTCAGAATGGAAAGCAGGATATGTGTTACGTTGGGGTAGGGGTTTTGCATTTGTATCTACAGGAGAAGAAAACCTATGGATTCCATCTAAGTTAATCAAGATCCGAGTTGAACAAGAGAAACATCTTAATGAAGAGAAATGACAAGTCATCCAACAAATTAGGTCCCATGAGGTGTGCGGAGGCCTCTCAAAGGTAGGGGAAGTTTTCTGTTCTTCTTCTTACAGGAAAACAGAGAAAACCTATCATCAAACAGCCAAAAGACACTGAACATGTAGGTACCTACAGAAGAGAAGACAGCTCTTCAGAAACAATCACTTAAGGAAGCAGAATTGGATATATGGTTAAAAAATATTTAATTGTAGTAAACTATTTCTATACAGAAATCTATTTCTCTCTGCTATCTAGTATTCCTGAAGTCCCAATTTATGTAAACCAATGCTGGCTTTGGAGTTGGATTTGGCTTTCCTTCTCTAAATTCAAGCATGTTGTTAAGATTAAATTCATGGTTTCTGCCTTAAATCAAGAAGCCAATTGGTGTAAGGCAGAAGAAAACAAAATCTGGGGACTTGTTTCTTATACGCAATTTTCTCTCTGAAATCCTAATTTTCTCACATACTTTTTAATGCTTATTATTGTCTTTCCCTAATGCATACCTTAAAACTTGAAAATTTTACTTTAATATTGATGTGTAACTTTTCCACAAGGAATAATAATGATTCCTAACAGCAGTCTTTGAACTCTCCGGAAAGAAGATGGGGCCCCACATCATTGTTTCCACTAGACTCAACCTGATGCATCTGAACTATTAACATCACCCTAAAACAGGTTTGAGACTGTTTTGCTCAAGACAACTCATGACTAGCTAGCAGTAATGGTGCACCTTTTTATTACACCCTGGCCAGAGTTTCAAATAGAACTACAGTCAAGAATTTTCTGCCACACAGTGACTAGCTACATATGTCACAGCCAGTTCTGTTGAGAAATTTGGTTGCTAAAAATTTTCTTCCTACAGGATCCATTGGCGCAATCATCATCCCATTTCAGCAGGAAGTAACCTTAAGATAACGACGCCCCCTTTCCCTACCCTTGGAATTTTGGGATAATAGTCATCGTCTTTGGGTTGGTTTTAGTTATTTAGGGTTGGGTATGGAAGGTGGTGCTTACACTCAGGTTTATCTTTTAGACAGGAATAGGGAATGGTTGGGAAAGGTATGGTTTAGATGGGATATAGGTAGATTTGCCTATTTTCTTGTGAATTTGAGTAAGAATGAGATAGTATTTTACAGCTTACATTGTCATGTATTCTTATATGTGGTAAGCTATGTAAAATTAAGTTTATATTTTGTTATATTGTGTGAAATCTTTCCACTTACGATGTTTTATGCACATTATTTTTACCATATTCTATGTATGTATACTTTTCTTGTATTCAAGACATTTGTATATTGATACAATTTGGGATATTTATCATGCTGCCCTTTATAGTTATACCTCTTGTCTTGACATTTCTACTCTACCTCTATTTTAGGGATTTATATGTATGTATATATATATAGTTATATTGTTTAAGTATTTGTTCCTGCTTTACTCAGGGAAGTTTTAATCAGTCTTTTTAGCTAAGTTCCCGAGTATTACAGATTATCTTTACTCATATTTCCTGTACCTATGAGATTAGTCAGATATAGATGCTTAATCTTCAATCACTTCATAGACATGCAGAACATGGCATTTAAATGTTTTAATATTAGTACTCCATTGACATGAGACACTGTTGCTCCTGACAGCACCATGCACTTTCCCGAAAATATGTTGGACACTGTTGTTGCTACTGCTGGAGTTCATTCTCGCCTCAGCTAATGGCCTGTTGGGCAAAGACTTGCCCCCACCTTGACCACTGATTTGGACATGCAGTCCTATGTGCTTGCAGGAAACAAATATAGAAGACTGCTGGACCTTGCCAAGTCAGGGTAAGACAGCCATTCTACCTCCCTGCTATTGTTGTGGTCTGTCAAGTTCTCTTGGCCTTAGCCAAACCTGGGTGTACCAACATTGCTGTGAGACCTAGGGTGACTGTCCAGGTGGCTTGCTGTTTCTGTCCTTGCTGCACCTTTTGGAAGTTGTCCATCCGCACTTCCTGTCTACTCTAGTATCATTATTTTCCTTCTCAGGTCTTGATGAGGTTGAAGATTAAATTATCACAACTATTATTCTCTCTTCCTAGTTAGATATATTAGGTACTAGACTTATGTTTTCCAGCTTAGGACAACTCTATTGTAAACTCCATTATGCCTTCACCCTAGGACTAGATATGTAGGTCATTTTGTTCTCGATTTTCCTTTTCTTAGAGCACACTTGTTATTCACTGTTTTGTATATAGTTTTGTATTAAGCCTAAATCTTTTCTTTAGACTAAAAGGGGAATTGTAGTGAGATAGTCCTTCTGTGGCACTGGCCATGCCCATTGTGGGGTGGAGCCATGGGCGGAAGTGACCTGTGGAAGAAGGTTGGAGAAAGAGCCGGGAAAAGCTCTCTTGCTGGCGGGACTCAGACAGGAGAGCATCGGGTGGAATTTCCTGGTGTTCATCTGTCTAGGTTGTAAGTAATTTCCCCCAGAATAAACATCTATTCAGCCTATTTGTTTATCCTGATCCTTATTTAACTGTGATACCCTGGAATTGGAGGGGTGCAACTTGACAGACTCTCATTTCAGTGCCCTCTTGCCTGCCCTGACCCAATGCTCCCAGCTTACCAAGATCAATTTCTATCATAATGATATCTCTCTGCTTGTCCTGGAGAGCCTTCTACAACACACAGCCAAGATGAGAAAGCTGACCCAGGAGCTGTACCCCACCCCTCCGGAATGCTATGAGGACATTACAATTCTTAGAGACAAACTTACACAACTTTGTCCTGAGCTGCTGGATATACTCAGGGTAGAAAGGCAGCACAAGAAAGTCTCTTTTCTACAAGAGTCTGTTTTGTCTGTTATCAGTCCTGTTTCTCGAACCACAAGGCCAGACTTTGCCTTTGTTCATATGTAGGATAAGGTTGCTTCTGGGAATGCAAACCTAGTATGGGGAGTGTATGTACAATATTTACCTCCTGGGTTGCATATAATAAATGTGTTGAGATTTAAAAAAGAAAAAGTTCCATCTAACTGAAGTCAGAATATCTACCATCAAGGAAACACATGACAACAAATACTGTTGAGGTATAAGGAAAGAAGAATGCTTAATCACTGTTGGTAGAGATGTAAATTTATATAATCACTACTGAAGTCAGTGTAAAGGTTTCTTAAAAAACTAAAAATAGTTCCATGTGTTTGCCTTCAAATCTCATGATATCATTGTTTTTAACATCTGAGTAGTACTCCATTGTGTAAATTTTTTTTCATCCATTCTTCAGTTGAGGAACATCTAGGTTGTTTCCAGGCTCTGGCTATTACAAATAATGCTATGAACATAGTTAAGCAAGTGTCATTCATTGTGGTATGATTGAACATCTTTTGGGTATATGCCCAAAAGCTGGGTCTTGAGGTAGACCAAATCCCAGTTTTCTGAGAAGCCACTATACTGATTTCCAAAGTGGCTATACAAGTTTGCACTCCCACCAGCAGTGGAGGATTGTTCCCCTTGCTCTATGTCCTCTCCAGCATAAGCTGTCACTTGTATTCTTTCTGTCTTAGCTATTCTGCAGGTTAAGATGGAATCTCAGAGTCATTTTTATTTGTATTTCCCTAATGGCTAAAATGCTGAACATTTTTTAAGTGTTTCTTGGCCATTTGAGATTCTTCTGTTGAGAATTCTCTATTTAGATCTGACCCCATATTTTAATTGGGTTATTTGGCTTTTTATCTCTAGTCTCTTGAGTTCTTTAAATATTTTGGAAAACAGTCCTCTAACAAAGAAAAAAAAAATTCATCTGGGTCTGAGGTAACCCACTCAGAAAGACAAACATGGTATATACTCACTTTTAAAGGATAACAACACTACAATCCACAAACCCATAGGATAGGTAACAAGGAGGGCTCAAGGAGGGATGTCAGGATCTCCCTGGGAAGAGAAAATAGAAGAGATCCTGTTGTGATGTGTTATTTATGATTTAATAAATCTTTCCTGAGGGTTCAGAATGCAAAGCCAGCCACAAGATACAGAGGTCAGGCAGTGGTGATACACACCTTTAATCCCAGCTGCCATACATACTAGCTAGGCATAGAGCTAAGTAGTTTAATCCCAGGACTCAGAAGACAGGCAGATGGATCTCTGTTAGGCCATGCTGATCTACACAAAATTGATCCAGTCCTAAAGAGAAACAGCTCACACAAAGGTGATCTCAGTACTTGGGATCACATGCCTTTAATCCCAGCTGTAGGGAGGTATAAAAGGAAGACTTAGTTTCCAGACAGGGAGAGCTATTGTCTCTGAGAATTCATGGAGAGAACTTTGCACTCTGAAGATTCATGGAGCCTGGATTATCCTTTCAGGTGTATCTGGCCATCTGCTTGAACTCCAATACCTATCTCTGGGTTTTTAGTTTTCATGTTACAAGATCTCATGTGTGGACTAGGAGCCGATGGGGATGGGAACAAGAGGGAACAGGTTGGAAGGGTGGATGGAGGCAGACAGTACTGAAAGAGATGACTGAAAGGGGGAGGGTCAGGTAGAAACCTGGTGCAAAGGAAATCCCAGGAATCTACAGAGTTGACCCCAGTTAAGACTCCTCACAATAGCATATACATAGCCTGAACTGGCTATCTCCTATGACCAGACAGATTTCAAGTGAAGAGATTGGGATACCAACCCATCCACATAAACTTTGATCTACAGTTTGTCCCACCTATGAGATGTGCTGAGGTAAAGGTGGCTCAGAGATTGTGGGAGTGGCCAACCAAGACTTGTCCAGCCTGAGACCCATGCCATGAGAGTGAGCTCACCCCTGACGCTACCTGGAATGCCAGGATCCAGAGGTGGATGACCTAGAGACCTAGGATAGAACTGTCATATGTCCCAGCTATCCCACTCCCAGGTACATAATCCACAGGATTCCATGTATCCTCCTACAGAGAAACCCACATTCATTGCTGCTCTATTCACAATAGTGAGGAAATGGAATCAAGCTCGCTGTCTGTCATCTGATGGATGGATGAATAACGAAGATGAGGTGTGCATACACAACAGAATTTTATTCAGTTGCAAAACAGTGTAATTTGGGAGTAAATGCATGGAACAGGAAAACATAACAAGTAAGTGTATTTTCACCAAGTAACCCAGGCCCAGCAAGAGAAACACTTCATACTCTCCCTCATATATGAATCCTAGTTTTGAAATTTTAGATATGTACGTTTGATTTGAACTATCTGTGGAGCCCAGGAAACTAGAAAGTAGTTATGAAAGAAAGGAGGGAAAAGGTCTTAAGAGGACAGGGGACAGTAGGATGCTTGTGATATGAAGGTAGAGGGAGAAATATTGGGAGTTAAAGTTTAAGTAGGCATGGGATGGGATAAGGGAAGGGGAGGGGTAAAGGTAGGTTAACCAAAACTGAAAAAAAAAAATGAAAGACAGAAGAAATATCCTTGAAGCTGATTCAGGTAAACAAAGGTTATCTAATAATCATAGTTTGAACACATTGTGATGGCCATGTAGTTCACTGGATTTCTGTGTTCAATCTGGATACCAATCTAAAGAATTTTTCCCACCAAAGAGCATCTGAGGTTGTGGAAAACAAGGCAAGATAAAACAAGGAAATCAGGTGTGTGGTACTCATATGAAAGAAAGACTACCTATATTTCAAGGAACTTCCAACAATAGTAATAATGACTTGGAGGATGGTGCATAATAGGAATTTCCATAAAAGTAAGACCACCATCCATGGCAGATTTGCAATGCATCAGAACCCTCTTAAGGAAGATGTGGAGAACTTGGAAGAACACAAACAAATGCTTGTTAAGGAAGAGATGGAAGTTGGCAACAGTATCCCCTTGTGAAGAACTGGCTCTTGACTTTTGTCTGTCTGATATCAGTACATAAAAATACTTATGTTGTGTTTCCCTAAATCATAAATGTGCAGCGTCTATTTCCTCACATGTTGTAAAAAAAAAAAGAGAGAGAGAGAGCTCAGTGCAGAAGGGACCTATTGGAAGAAGGGCACTGTCATAGGTACCTAGTGTGGGTCTGTAAGGAGTAAGGTTTTTCCGCCTGCCACTGGTCTTGTCCCGCCGCCGCGCCAGACACAAATAACACACAGAGACTATGTATTAGATATAATGCTGTTGGCCAGTTACTTGTTTCTTATAAGCTAGCTCTGTCTTAATTATTAACCCATTTCTGTTGATCTATGTATTTCCACTTGGTCTCATCTTACCGGGGAATACGGCAGGCGTCTCGTCTCCCCAGTCTCCATCTTGACTCCTCCTTACTACTTCCTCTTTCCTCCTTATCCCCTAGTCCCTCCTATCTTCCTTTCCTATTGGCCAACAGTGCTTTATTCATTAACCAGTATGAGAAACTGGTTAATGAGAAACCAGTATGAGAAAATATATACAGAAAGACATCTCCCATCATCTCCTCTTTTCTGTCTAAAATAAAAAGAAGGGTTTTAACTTTAGAATAGCAAAATATATCACGCAACAGTTATCAAGTAAGAATCACAGTTAACAATATTTAGTTCATTAACATTTAGTGAGACTTAAAGAAAATATTCTATCATCTATCTTTGTGAATCTAAAGACCTATATTATCTTTAAGCCTAACTAAGGAAAACTATAGCCATAACTATCTGTCTTCAACTCCTTCAAAGACCACAAAAGGATAGTATATAAACTCTAGAAATGACAGAGACAACTCACCTGGTCAGTCACCCAAAGTTCTTCTGTAACCTTCCATCTTCAGCCCATAGGCCATAGTGTGTCTGGCAGACTCTTCTTCAAAGCAGGAAACTTTAAAATGTCTTCTTGTATTGGCAGTTTGTCAGTCACTTTTCTCTGCAGACTGTCTGGCAGACTCTTCCATGAAGCAGGAACCCTGTAGCAATGTCCATCTTGAATCAGCAGTCACTTTTCTGTGGGTTCTGCATATCCAGTTTATACAGCATAAAGTCAAACAGTCCAGACAAGAGCAGTATCTTGTCCAAATGGATAGTCTTAGCATATTGAAAGCAAACTCCATAACCTGTTTCTTTAATGTCCATCTTCCTTTCTGACGCAGGTGGTGTTGTCAGGAGCAATTGTACCTCATTGTCAAGAAAAACCCTAAACCATTTTAAATGCCATATTCTGTAGGACTTTGAAAGATTTGAAGAAGCTTATTTATCTCAAATACATCTCTGTGTATCTAGAAATCTTAACTAACTTAACTATAAGATTTGACTATCATAGGTACTATCTATAATCTGTACTAAATTATACATTACATATCTAAATGAGCTATATAAACACAATATCTAACCAAGAAGAGAAATACACATATCACAAAATTGAACTTAAATTGTATCAATAAATGAAAATCCATTCCAAAACAAAGTATTCATATCTATACCATAATCCTCTTTTACCTTTAAAAGGAGATTGGTTGTTGTCGTTAACCATTTATAAACAAGCCCATTTAAATGAAAACATTTACAAACAATATTTGGGAATTTCGGTGTCATTCTTTCCAAACTACTTCCTGCTGATAGGGGGCGCTATCATGGGGATCCTAAGAAGACACAGATATCCTGGCTGTAGTCTACAAGGCTGCCTTGTTCAAGCTGTTTTGAATGTTGGATCACCAGGAACGCTGTTTCAGGGGGTCTGGCTTGCTCAAACCACATTAGTCTAGAAGGAATCCATAGCTTTTCATTTTCTGTGGAAACAAAAATAGAAATCCTTTTTCCCAGTAACCTGTCCTTAGACTTAAATTTTGAAGTCAAAGCATTTTTAAAATATATAAATTGAATTAATCCAGCCGTATTTCCTTTAACAATTGTTTCCTCAGCAGTCAAACGTATGAAGACAATATAATGCTATACAGTATATAGATTCTCTCTGAGCTTTTTATTTTTATGT